TCATCCACGTCGTGAAGGGTCTGTGACACACGGAGAGAGACACAGAGACACTTAGACACTTAGATAGAGAGACAGAGACACAGAGAGACAGAGAGAGACAGAGACACAGAGAGACACAGAGAGACAGAGAGACAGAGAGACAGACAGAGACACGTGGTATTCGGGGAAGGAAGATTCATCCACGTCGTGAAGGGTCTGTGACACACGGAGAGAGACACAGAGACACTTAGACACTTAGATAGAGAGACAGAGACACAGAGAGACACAGAGAGACACAGAGAGACACAGACACAGAGACACAGAGACACAGAGACACAGACACACAGAGAGAGAGACAGAGATACAGACAGAGACAGAGAGACAGAGAGACAGACAGAGACACGTGGTATTCGGGGAAGGAAGATTCATCCACGTCGTGAAGGGTCTGTGACACACGGAGAGAGACACAGAGACACTTAGACACTTAGATAGAGACACAGAGAGACAGAGAGACAGAGACACAGAGAGACAGAGAGAGACAGAGGCACTTAGACACTGAGATAGAGAGACAGAGAGACAGAGAGACAGACAGAGACAGAGAGAGACAGAGACACTTATATAGAGAGACAGAGACACAGAGACACAGAGAGACACAGAGAGACAGACAGAGAGACAGTGAGACACAGAGACACAGAGAGACAGAGACACGTGGTATTCGGGGAAGGAAGATTCATCCACGTCGTGAAGGGTCTGTGACACACGGAGAGAGACACAGAGACACTTAGACACTTAGATAGAGAGACAAAGACACTTAGACAGAGACACAGAGACAGAGAGACAGAGATACTTAGACAGAGACACAGAGACACAGAGAGACAGAGACACGTGGTATTCGGGGAAGGAAGATTCATCCACGTCGTGAAGGGTCTGTGACACACGGAGAGAGACAGAGACACTTAGACACTTAGATAGAGAGACAGAGAGACAGACAGAGACACAGAGAGACAGAGACACAGAGAGACACAGAGAGACAAAGAGACACAGAGACAGAGACACAGAGAGACAGAAAGACAGAGACAGAGAGACACAGAGACACAGAGAGACAGAGACACACAGAGAGACACAGAGACACAGACAGAGAGAGACACAGAGACACGTGGTATTCGGGGAAGGAAGATTCATCCACGTCGTGAAGGGTCTGCGACACACGGAGAGAGACAGAGACACTTAAACACTTAGATAGAGAGACAGAGACAGAGAGATAGAGAGTGACAGAGAGACAGAGACAGAGAGAGAGACAGAGTGACAGAGAGACAGAGAGACAGAGAGACAGAGAGAGACAGACACAGAGAGACAGACAGACAGAGACAGACAGAAACAGAGAGAGACAGAGAGAGACAGAGAGACAGAGAGAGACAGAGAGAGCCAGAGAGAGACAGAGAGACCGAGAGAGACAGAGAGAGACAGAGAGAGACAGAGACACAGAGAGACAGAGAAACACAGAGAGACAGAGAGAGACAGAGAGACAGACAGAGAGACAGACAGAGAGAAAAAGACACAGAGAGACAAACAGAGAGACAGAGAGACACACAGAGTGACAGAGAGACAGAGAGAGACAGAGAGAGACAGAGAGACCGAGAGAGACAGAGAGACAGACAGAGACACAGAGAGACAGACAGAGACACAGAGACACAGAGTGACAGAGAGACAAACAGAGAGACAGACAGAGTGACAGAGAGAGACAGAGAGATGCACCAGCCACGCGCATCACACGCACACAGACACGGCCATTTTCTCAAACCGAGCCGCCATTGACCACGTGACCCGTGTGCAGGTCACGTGATTCAGTCGCCCTGCCAGCCCCCTCTAAAGGCCACTTCCGGTATTGATTATCAATGATCATGTGACCTCCGTTACCAGTACCAAAATCTGAGAATTAATAGGGGAAAACCTAGTGTCAGATATCACGATCATGTGACCTCCTTTACCAGTACCAAAATCTGGGAATTAATAGGGGAAAACCTAGTGTCAGATATCACGATCATGTGACCTCCTTTACCAGTACCAAAATCTGAGAATTAATGGGGGAATGCCTAGTGTCAGATATCACGATCATGTGATCTCCATTGCCAGTACCAACATCTGAGAATTAATAGGGGAAAACCTAGTGTCAGATATCACGATCATGTGACCTCCATTGCCAGTACCAAAATCTGGGAATTAATAGGGGAAAACCTAGTGTCAGATATCACGATCATGTGATCTCCTTTACCAGTACCAACATCTGGGAATTAATAGGGGAAAACCTAGAATCAGATATCACGATCATGTGATCTCCATTGCCAGTACCAAAATCTGGGAATTAATAGGGGAAAACCTAGTATCAGATATCACGATCATGTGATCTCCATTGCCAGTACCAAAATCTGGGAATTAATAGGGGAAAACCTATTATCAGATATCACGATCATGTGATCTCCATTGCCAGTACCAAAAATCTGAGAATTAATAGGGGAAAACCTAGTATCAGACATCACTATCATGTGATCTCCATTGCCAGTACTAAAATCTGAGAATTAATAGGGGAAAACCTAGTATCAGATATCACGATCATGTGATCTCCATTGCCAGTACCAAAAATCTGAGAATTAATAGGGGAAAACCTAGTATCATTCGAAACGTCGTGAGAATATTATTGTTTTATATTTTTATTATTTTATTGTTTCTCTATCTACGTGGTGGTGACTTTACCCAAAGAACCAAGAATAATAATTTAATTGTTTTATATTTTTATTATTTTATTGTTTCCCTTCTACGTGGTGGTGACTTTACCCAAAGAACCTAGAAGAATAATTTTATTGTTTTATATATTTTTTATTTTATTGTTTCCCTTCTACACGGTGGTGACTTTACCCAAAGAACCAAGAATACTAATTGTATTGTTTTACATTTTTATTATTTTATTGTTTCCCTATCTACGTGGTGGTGACTTTACCCAAAGAACCAAGAATACTAATTGTATTGTTTTATAGTTTTATTATTTTATCATTACAATGATAGCGCCAATTGGGGTCGAGGCTCAAAAGAAAGCCGTCCCTTGGTGTGGACCAATCAGTGTCAAGGACAATGCATCAGATATGATCATAGTGTGTGTGTTGTATTTTGTGTTGGCATTTTGACCGCAGGTATTGTGGTTAAACGCAGTAAACGTGAATCCTCGTAAGCTTTGTTGCCAGAAAATAGGGGGGAAAAACCCCCCCTGTTATCATTATTATTATTATATTTATTAGTACTCTATTTTTGGTCCCGGGAAGAAGGTGTAATGATGAACGTGACACTTTAATGCTGCTTTGGCCGTGTGTCGGGTGGTGGAGGGTTGTGCGACACATTTGTAAACAACGCCATCTAAACCCGCTCCCCCTCCAAAAAACAAAAACACCGCCTTCACGTGTTAAACGTGAACATCAATGAACATCAATTCTAGACTCGAAGCTTTCGTGACCTTTGGTTCTATTGGGTAAAAGTCACCACGTGTGGGTAAAAGTAAAAAGTTTAAAAAAAAAAGATTAAAACGTCAAAAAATCGTCGAGACGTTTCGGCAACAATACAAAGCGGCCTTCATCAGGTGAAGGGATCGGGCTGTCTAGCGAGGACAGCTCCGGAGTGGAACACAGCCACAAGCTCAGGCCGCGGACCTTGAAGCTGCGTGTGGGTAAAACAAGGCGCCTTGAGAAAGGAATTGGCATAAAACAAATTCGCATTTGATTTCAAGTTTGTTGCATGTCGGTCAAGTATGCTAAGCATCTCGAACAGAGACACGTTCACATTTAGATGTTCTCTCAGATTGACGTTATTCTGATACAGCACGCGTGTGGATGTACTGAGTGAGTGGGTGGGTGAGTGAGTGAGTGGGTGGCTGAGTGAGTGGGTGGGTGGGTGAGCGAGTGGGTGGCTGAGTGAGTGGGTGGGTGAGTGAGTGGGTGGGTGAGTGAGTGGGTGGCTGAGTGAGTGGGTGGCTGAGTGGGTGGCTGAGTGAGTGAGTGGGTGGCTGAGTGAGTGGGTGGCTGAGTGGGTGGCTGAGTGAGTGAGTGGGTGGCTGAGTGAGTGGGTGAGTGAGTGAGTGGGTGGCTGAGTGAGTGAGTGAGTGGGTGGCTGAGCGAGTGGCTGAGTGGGTGGCTGAGTGAGTGAGTGGGTGGGTGGCTGAGTGAGTGGGTGGCTGAGTGGGTGGCTGAGTGAGTGGGTGGCTGAGTGGGTGGCTGAGTGAGTGGGTGGCTGAGTGAGTGGGTGGCTGAGTGAGTGGGTGAATGGGTGACTGAGTGAGCGAGTGGCTGAGTGGGTGGCTGAGTGAGTGAGTGGGTGGCTGAGTGAGTGAGTGAGTGGGTGGCTGAGCGAGTGGCTGAGTGGGTGGCTGAGTGAGTGAGTGGGTGGCTGAGTGGGTGGCTGGGTGAGTGAGTGAGTGGGTGGCTGGGTGAGTGGTGAGTGAGTGAGTGGGTGGCTGAGTGAGTGAGTGGGTGGCTGAGTGAGTGGGTGAGTGAGTGAGTGGGTGGCTGAGTGAGTGAGTGAGTGGGTGGCTGAGTGAGTGGGTGGCTGAGTGAGTGGGAGGCTGAGTGGGTGGCTGAGTGAGTGAGTGAGTGGGTGGCTGAGTGAGTGGGTGAGTGAGTGAGTGGGTGGCTGAGTGAGTGAGTGGGTGGCTGAGTGAGTGGGTGAGTGAGTGAGTGGGTGGCTGAGTGAGTGAGTGAGTGGGTGGCTGAGCGAGTGGCTGAGTGGGTGGCTGAGTGAGTGAGTGGGTGGCTGAGTGAGTGGGTGGCTGAGTGGGTGGCTGAGTGAGTGGGTGGCTGAGTGGGTGGCTGAGTGAGTGGGTGGCTGAGTGAGTGGGTGGCTGAGTGAGTGAGTGAGTGGGTGACTGAGTGAGCGAGTGGCTGATTGGGTGGCTGAGTGAGTGAGTGGGTGGCTGAGTGAGTGAGTGAGTGGCTGAGTGGGTGGCTGAGTGAGTGGGTGGCTGAGTAAGTGAGTGAGTGAGTGGGTGGCTGAGTGAGTGGGTGGGTGAGTGGGTGGCTGAGTGAGTGGGTGGCTGAGTGAGTGAGTGGGTGGCTGAGTGAGTGGGTGGGTGAGTGGGTGGCTGAGTGAGTGAGTGGCTGAGTGAGTGGGTGGGTGAGTGGGTGGCTGAGTGAGTGAGTGGCTGAGTGAGTGAGTGGGTGGCTGAGTGAGCGAGTGGGTGAGTGAGTGAGTGAGTGGCTGAGTGAGTGAGTGAGTGATGTTGTTGATGATGATGTTGTTGTTGTTGTTGACGTTGACGTCACACTCACCACGTGCCCCTCCGAGTCGTCTAGCTGGAGGCTGCCGCTCTCCAACTCGATGCTCACCACCTTGGAGCAGAAAGTCGCCTCCAGCGAGCCACAGCGCACGGCACGGACACTCACCACCACCACCACCACCACGGGACCCTCCACGCCTCCGTCGCTCACCTCCAGCTGCTCACCACGATGGGGGGGGGATGGGTGAGTGAGTGGGTGAGTGAGTGGGTGAGTGGGTGACTGAGTGGCTGAGTGAGTTAGTGAGTGAGTGAGTGAGTGGGTGAGTGGCTGAGTGAGTGAGTGGGTGAGTGAGTGACTGAGTGGCTGAGTGAGTGGCTGAGTGAGTGAGTGACTGAGTGGCTGAGTGAGTGGCTGAGTGAGTGAGTGGGTGAGTGAGTGAGTGGCTGAGTGAGTGAGTGGGTGAGTGAGTGAGTGGGTGAGTGAGTGAGTGGCTGAGTGAGTGAGTGAGTGGGTGAGTGAGTGGGTGAGTGAGTGAGTGGTGAGTGAGTGGGTGAGTGGCTGAGTGAGTGGCTGACTGAGTGAGTGAGTGGCTGAGTGGGTGGCTAAGTGAGTGGCTGAGTGAGTGAGTGGTGAGTGAGTGAGTGGCTGAGTGAGTGGCTGAGAGAGTGGCTGAGTGGCTGAGTGAGTGGCTGAGAGAGTGGCTGAGTGAGTGACTGAGTGGCTGAGTGAGTGGCTGAGTGAGTGAGTGGCTGAGTGAGTGAGTGGCTGAGTGAGTGGCTAAGTGAGTGGCTGAGTGAGTGAGTGAGTGGCTGAGTGACTGAGTGACTGAGTGGCTGAGTGACTGAGTGAGTGGCTGAGTGAGTGACTGAGTGGCTAAGTGACTGAGTGGCTGAGCGAGTGACTGGGTGACTGAGTGAGTGAGTGAGTGGCTGGCTGAGTGAGTGAGTGACTGAGTGGCTGAGTGAGTGAGTGAGTGGCTGAGCGAGTGACTGAGTGGCTGACTGAGTGACTGAGTCACTGAGTGAGTGACTGAGTGGCTGAGTGAGTGAGTGACTGAGTGGCTGACTGAGTGACTGAGTGACTGAGTGAGTGACTGAGTGGCTGAGTGAGTGAGTGACTGAGTGACTGAGTGGCTGAGCGAGTGGCTGAGTGGCTGAGTGAGTGAGTGGCTGACTGAGTGACTAAGTGACTGAGTGACTGAGTGGCTGAGCGAGTGACTGAGTGGCTGAGCGAATGGCTGAGTGGCTAGCTGAGTGAGTGATTGACTGAGTGAGCGAGTGACTGAGTGGCTGAGTGACTGAGTGTCTGAGCGAGTGACTGAGTGGCTGAGCGAGTGGCTGAATGGTTGGCTGAGTGAGTGACTGAGTGAGCGAGTGACTGAGTGGCTGAGTGAGTGACTGAGTGAGTGACTGAGTGGCTGGCTGAGTGACTAAGTGACCGAGTGACTGAGTGGCTGAGCGAGTGACTGAGTGGCTGAGTGAGTGAGTGGCTGAGTGAGTGTCTGAGCGAGTGAATGAGTGTCTGAGCGAGTGACTGACTGAGTGTCTGAGGGAGTGACTGAGTGTCTGAGCGAGTGACTGAGTGAGTGGCTGAGCGAGTCACTGAGTGTCTGAGCGAGCGAGTGAGTGAGTGTCTGAGCGGGTGACTAAGTGACTGAGTGACTGAGTGTCTGAGCGATTGACTGAGTGTCTGAGCGAGTGACTGAGTGGCTGAGTGACTGAGTGACTGAGTGAGTGTCTGAGCGAGAGACTGAGTGTCTGAGTGTCTGAGCGAGTGACTGAGTGACTGAGTGACTGAGTGTCTGAGTGAGTGACTGAGTGAGTGACTGAGTGAGTGTCTGAGCGAGTGGCTGAGTGTCTGAGTGACTGAGTGAGTGACTGAGTGAGTGTCTGAGCGAGTGACTGAGTGTCTGAGCGAGTGGCTGAGTGACTGAGTGACTGAGTGTCTGAGCGAGTGACTGAGTGAGTGACTGAGCGAGTGACTAAGTGACTAATTGACTGACTGAGTGTCTGAGCGAGTGACTGAGTGACTGAGTGTCTGAGTGAGTGACTGAGTGTCTGAGTGTCTGAGTGAGTGACTGAGTGAGTGACTGAGTGAGTGTCTGAGCGAGTGACTGAGTGTCTGAGTGTCTGAGTGAGTGACTGAGTGAGTGACTGAGTGTCTGAGTGTCTGAGTGAGTGACTGAGTGAGTGACTGAGTGAGTGTCTGAGCGAGTGACTGAGTGTCTGAGTGTCTGAGTGAGTGACTGAGTGAGTGACTGAGTGTCTGAGTGTCTGAGTGAGTGACTGAGTGAGTGACTGAGTGAGTGTCTGAGCGAGTGACTGAGTGAGTGACTGAGTGAGTGTCTGAGTGAGTGACTGAGTGAGTGACTGAGTGAGTGTCTGAGTGAGTGACTGAGTGAGTGACTGAGTGAGTGTCTGAGTGAGTGTCTGAGCGAGTGACTGAGTGAGTGACTGAGTGAGTGTCTGAGTGAGTGACTGAGTGAGTGACTGAGTGAGTGTCTGAGCGAGTGACTGAGTGAGTGACTGAGTGAGTGTCTGAGCGAGTGGCTGAGTGACTGAGTGAGTGACTGAGTGAGTGACTGAGTGAGTGTCTGAGTGAGTGTCTGAGCGAGTGACTGAGCGAGTGGCTGAGTGAGTGACTGAGTGAGTGTCTGAGCGAGTGGCTGAGTGACTGAGTGACTGAGTGTCTGAGCGAGTGACTGAGTGAGTGTCTGAGTGAGTGGCTGAGTGACTGAGTGTCTGAGTGTCTGAGCGAGTGGCTGAGTGACTGAGTGACTGAGTGACTGAGTGAGTGACTGAGCGTCTGAGTGAGTGACTGAGTGTCTGAGTGAGTGACTGAGTGTCTGAGTGTCTGAGCGAGTGGCTGAGTGAGTGACTGAGTGAGTGTCTGAGCGAGTGGCTGAGTGACTGAGTGACTGAGTGTCTGAGCGAGTGACTGAGTATCTGAGTGTCTGAGTGAGTGACTGAGTGACTGAGTGTCTGAGTGTCTGAGCGAGTGGCTGAGTGACTGAGTGACTGAGTGAGTGTCTGAGCGAGTGACTGAGTGTCTGAGCGAGTGGCTGAGTGACTGAGTGACTGAGTGACTGAGTGTCTGAGTGTCTGAGTGAGTGAGTGTCTGAGCGAGTGACTGAGTGTCTGAGCGACTGACTGAGTGTCTGAGCGAGTGGCTGAGTGACTGAGTGAGTGACTGAGTGTCTGAGTGTCTGAGCGAGTGACTGAGTGACTGAGTGACTGAGTGACTGAGTGAGTGACTGACTGAGTGTCTGAGCGAGTGGCTGAGTGTCTGAGCGAGCGACTGAGTGACTAATTGACTGAGTGACTGACTGAGTGTCTGAGTGTCTGAGTGAGTGACTGAGTGAGTGACTGAGTGAGTGTCTGAGCGAGTGACTGAGTGTCTGAGTGTCTGAGTGAGTGACTGAGTGAGTGACTGAGTGTCTGAGTGTCTGAGTGAGTGACTGAGTGAGTGACTGAGTGAGTGTCTGAGCGAGTGACTGAGTGAGTGACTGAGTGAGTGTCTGAGTGAGTGACTGAGTGAGTGACTGAGTGAGTGTCTGAGTGAGTGACTGAGTGAGTGACTGAGTGAGTGTCTGAGTGAGTGTCTGAGTGAGTGACTGAGTGAGTGACTGAGTGAGTGTCTGAGTGAGTGACTGAGTGAGTGACTGAGTGAGTGTCTGAGCGAGTGACTGAGTGAGTGACTGAGTGAGTGTCTGAGCGAGTGGCTGAGTGACTGAGTGACTGAGTGACTGAGTGTCTGAGTGAGTGACTGAGTGTCTGAGTGAGTGACTGAGTGTCTGAGTGTCTGAGCGAGTAGCTGAGTGAGTGACTGAGTGAGTGTCTGAGTGAGTGTCTGAGCGAGTGACTGAGTGAGTGACTGAGTGAGTGTCTGAGTGAGTGACTGAGTGAGTGACTGAGTGAGTGTCTGAGCGAGTGACTGAGTGAGTGACTGAGTGAGTGTCTGAGCGAGTGGCTGAGTGACTGAGTGTCTGAGTGTCTGAGCGAGTGGCTGAGTGACTGAGTGACTGAGTGTCTGAGTGAGTGACTGAGTGTCTGAGTGAGTGACTGAGTGTCTGAGTGAGTGACTGAGTGTCTGAGTGTCTGAGCGAGTGGCTGAGTGAGTGACTGAGTGAGTGTCTGAGCGAGTGGCTGAGTGACTGAGTGACTGAGTGTCTGAGCGAGTGACTGAGTATCTGAGTGTCTGAGTGAGTGACTGAGTGACTGAGTGTCTGAGTGTCTGAGCGAGTGGCTGAGTGACTGAGTGACTGAGTGAGTGTCTGAGCGAGTGACTGAGTGTCTGAGCGAGTGACTGAGTGTCTGAGCGAGTGGCTGAGTGACTGAGTGACTGAGTGACTGAGTGTCTGAGTGTCTGAGTGAGTGAGTGTCTGAGCGAGTGACTGAGTGTCTGAGCGACTGACTGAGTGTCTGAGCGAGTGGCTGAGTGACTGAGTGAGTGACTGAGTGTCTGAGTGTCTGAGCGAGTGACTGAGTGACTGAGTGACTGAGTGACTGAGTGAGTGACTGACTGAGTGTCTGAGCGAGTGGCTGAGTGTCTGAGCGAGCGACTGAGTGACTAATTGACTGAGTGACTGACTGAGTGTCTGAGCGAGTGACTAAGTGACTGAGTGACTGAGTGGCTGAGTGACTGACTGAGTGTCTGAGCGAGTGACTGAGTGTCTGAGCGAGTGACTGAGTGTCTGAGCGAGTGTCTGAGTGACTGACTGAGTGAGTGTCTGAGCGAGTGATTAAGTGACTGAGTGACTGACTGAGTGTCTGAGCGAGTGACTGAGTGAGTGACTGAGTGAGTGTCTGAGCGACTGACTGAGTGTCTGAGCGAGTGACTAAGTGACTGAGTGACTAATTGACTGAGTGACTGACTGAGTGTCTGAGCGAGCGAGTGAGTGACTGAGTGTCTGAGCGAGTGACTAAGTGACTAACTGACTGACTGAGTGTCTGAGCCAGTAGTCACCCACCTCTGCGAGGTTGATGCTGCAGTCGCTCGCATCAAATATCTTCCACTGACCATCAAACTGCAGGAATTCTCGCTGACCCACAGAGGCGCAAACCTTGGGACAGCCATCGGAGACGCAGCTGAAGAGGCCGCCCAGACACTCGCTACACGGGGAGAGAGAGGCGTGGGTGTCACTCTTACTAGGTGTGTCACACTCTGACTAGGTGTGTGACACTCTTACTAGGTGTGTGACACTCTTACTAGGTGTGTGTCACTCTTACTAGGTGTGTCACACTCTTACTAGGTGTGTCACACTCTTACTAGGTGTGTGACACTCTTACTAGGTGTGTGACACTCTTACTAGGTGTGTGACACTCTCTTACTAGGTGTGTGACACTCTGACTAGGTGTGTGACACTCTTACTAGGTGTGTGACACTCTTACTAGGTGTGTGACACTCTTACTAGGTGTGTCACACTCTTACTAGGTGTGTGACACTCTTACTAGGTGTGTGACACTCTTACTAGGTGTGTGACACTCTTACTAGGTGTTACACACTCTTACTAGGTGTGTGACACACTCTTACTAGGTGTGTGACACTCTTACTAGGTGTCTCACACTCTTACTAGGTGTGTGACACTCTTACTAGGTGTGTGACACTCTCACTAGGTGTGTGACACTCTTAGTAGGTGTGTGACACTCTGACTAGGTGTGTGACACTCTTACTAGGTGTGTGACACTCTTACTAGGTGTGTGACACTCTTACTAGGTGTGTGACACTCTCACTAGGTGTGTGACACTCTTAGTAGGTGTGTGACACTCTGACTAGGTGTGTGACACTCTTACTAGGTGTGTGACACTCTTACTAGGTGTGTGACACTCTTACTAGGTGTGTGACACTCTTACTAGGTGTGTGACACTCTTAGTAGGTGTGTCACACACTCTTACTAGGTGTGTGACACTCTTACTAGGTGTGTGACACTCTCACTAGGTGTGTCACACTCTTACTAGGTGTGTGTCACACTCTTACTGGGTGTGTCACACTCTTACTAGGTGTGTGACACTCTTACTAGGTGTGTGACACTCTTACTAGGTGTGTGACACTCTTACTAGGTGTGTGACACTCTTACTAGGTGTGTCACACTCTTACTAGGTGTGTGACACTCTCACTAGGTGTGACACTCTTAGTAGGTGTGTCACACACTCTTACTAGGTGTGTGACACTCTTACTAGGTGTGTGACACTCTTACTAGGTGTGACACACTCTTACTAGGTGTGTGACACTCTTACTAGGTGTGTCACACTCTTACTAGGTGTGTGACACTCTTACTAGGTGTGTGACACTCTTACTAGGTGTGTCACACTCTTACTAGGTGTGTGACACTCTTACTAGGTGGGTCACACTCTTACTAGGTGTGTGACACTCTTACTAGGTGTGTGACACTCTTACTAGGTGTGTGACACTCTTACTAGGTGTGTGACACTCTTACTAGGTGTGTGTCACTCTTACTAGGTGTGTCACACTCTTACTAGGTGTGTGACACTCTTACTAGGTGTGTGACACTCTCACTAGGTGTGTCACACTCTTACTAGGTGTGTGTCACACTCTTACTGGGTGTGTCACACTCTTACTAGGTGTGTGACACTCTTACTAGGTGTGTGACACTCTTACTAGGTGTGTGACACTCTTACTAGGTGTGTGACACTCTTACTAGGTGTGTCACACTCTTACTAGGTGTGTGACACTCTCACTAGGTGTGTGACACTCTTACTAGGTGTGTGACACACTCTTACTAGGTGTGTGACACTCTTACTAGGTGTGTGACACTCTTACTAGGTGTGACACACTCTTACTAGGTGTGTGACACTCTTACTAGGTGTGTCACACTCTTACTAGGTGTGTGACACTCTTACTAGGTGTGTGACACTCTTACTAGGTGTGTCACACTCTTACTAGGTGTGTGACACTCTTACTAGGTGGGTCACACTCTTACTAGGTGTGTGACACTCTTACTAGGTGTGTGACACTCTTACTAGGTGTGTGACACTCTTACTAGGTGTGTGACACTCTTACTAGGTGTGTGTCACTCTTACTAGGTGTGTCACACTCTTACTAGGTGTGTGACACTCTTACTAGGTGTGTGACACTCTTCCTAGGTGTGTGACACTCTTACTAGGTGTGTGACACTCTTACTAGGTGTGTGACACTCTTACTAGGTGTGTGACACTCTTACTAGGTGTGTGACACACTCTTACTAGGTGTGTGACACTCTTACTAGGTGTGTCACACTCTTACTAGGTGTGTGATACTCTTACTAGGTGTGTCACACTCTTACTAGGTGTGACACACTCTTATTAGGTGTGTGATACTCTTACTAGGTGTGTGACACTCTTACTAGGTGTGTGACACTCTTACTAGGTGTGACACACTCTTACTAGGTGTGTGACACTCTTACTAGGTGTGTGACACTCTTACTAGGTGTGTGACACACTCTTACTAGGTGTGTCACACTCTTACTAGGTGTGTCACACTCTTACTAGGTGTGACACACTCTTACTAGGTGTGTGACACTCTTACTAGGTGTGTGACACTCTTACTAGGTGTGTCACACTCTTACTAGGTGTGTGACACTCTTACTAGGTGTGTGACACACTCTTACTAAGTGTGTCACACTCTTACTAGGTGTGTGACACTCTTACTAGGTGTGTGACACTCTTACTAGGTGTGTGACACACTCTTACTAGGTGTGTGACACTCTTACTAGGTGTGTGACACTCTCACTAGGTGTGTCACACTCTTACTAGGTGTGTAACACTCTTACTACGTGTGTGACACTCTGACTAGGTGTGTGACACTCTTACTAGGTGTGTGACACTCTTACTAGGTGTGTGACACTCTTACTAGGTGTGTGACACTCTTACTAGGTGTGTGTCACACTCTTACTAGGTGTGTGACACACTCTTACTAGGTGTGTGACACACTCTTACTAGGTGTGTGACACTCTTACTAGGTGTGTGACACTCTTACTAGGTGTGTCACACACTCAGCATCTGTGTGACACTCTTACTAGGTGTGTGACACTCTTAGTAGGTGTGTGACACTCTTAGTAGGTGTGACACACTCTTACTAGGTGTGTCACACTCTTACTAGGTGTGTGACACTCTTACTAGGTGTGTCACACTCTTACTACGTGTGACACACTCTTACTAGGTGTGTCACACTCTTACTAGGTGTGTGTCACACTCCCCAGCCTACAACACAGCCTACAGCCTACAATACAGCCTACAACACAGCCTACAGCCTACAACACAGCCTACAACACAGCCTACGACACAGCCTACGACACAGCCTACGACACAGCCTACAGCCTACAACACAGCCTACAACACAGCCTACAACACAGCCTACAACACAGCCTACAACACAGCCTACAGCCTACAACACAGCCTACAACACAGCCTACAGCCTACAACACAGCCTACAACACAGCCTACAACACCACAACACAGCCTACAACACCACAACACAGCCTACAACACAGCCTACAACACAGCCTACAGCCTACAACACAGCCTACAGCACAGCCTACAACACAGCCTACAGCCTACAACACAGCCTACAACACAGCCTACAGCCTACAACACAGCCTACAACACAGCCTACAACACAGCCTACAGCCTACAACACAGCCTACAACACAGCCTACAGCCTACGACACAGCCTACAGCCTACGACACAGCCGACGACACAGCCGGCTTGCAGCATCACTCACCACGTGGTGCACCCCCTGACGGTGACCTCGCCGCTGGCGAAAGTTTGGTCTCCGTGCTTGCAGGAGCAGTCCTCAGGCGAGACGCAAAGCCCACTGTAGTCTCTCTTCATTCTACACACACACAGAGAAACACAGAGACACACACAGAGACACACAGAGAGACACACAGAGAGACACACAGAGAGACACACAGAGACACACACACACACAGAGACACACACAGTTACACAGTTACACACAGTTACACACACACAGACACACAGTTACACACAGTTACACACAGTTACACACAGAGACACACACAGCGACACACACACACACAGTTACACACACACAGAGACACACACACAGTTACACACACACACAGTTACACACAGTTACACAGTTACACACAGTTACACACAGAGACACACACAGAGACACACACACACAGTTACACAGTTACACACACAGTTACACACACACACAGTTACACACACACACAGACACACAGTTACACACAGCTACACAGTTACACACAGTTACACACAGAGACACACACAGAGACACACACACACAGTTACACACACACAGTTAGACACAGTTACACACACAGTTACACACACACAGTGACACACACAGAGACACACATACACACACAGTTACACACACACAGTTACACACACACACAGTTACACACAGAGAGACAACAACAATAACAAAAACCGCCATTCGCCACTAAGTGGCGGTGACATCACCACGACGCTTGTGCCAGGCTATGTGCACCCTGAGGCCACGTGAAGTGTCGAACGCCCGCTGGCAGGAGGTCACGGGGCAGACCCAGCAGGTGCCACGGGTCGACTGACTGAGATGACTGGCTGATGCACCACCTGTGCACCCTACTGTGCCAACCTGCTGTGCTTTAGCCACCCGGCGCTCCGCTCGTTGTTCTGAGCGTCGCTCCTCCGCCCTCCGTTGTTCTTGGAGGGCGACTACCTCCAACTGCCCAGTAGCATCCTTCACGAGCCTCCTCCACAGAGGCCGATCTTGACACCGCTGGTACCAGTCATCGGCAAGTCCACTCAGCTCCACGTCCTCCTGTACCACATCACTCCATCTCTTCTCTAGCCCGTGCCGCGCCCGCTTAGCCCCCTCAATCCGGCCGAACAAAAGCTGTTTCGGCATGCGGTGGCTGGGCATGCGGGCTACATGACCCAGCCATCGCAGCCTTGCCCGCCGGAGGAGCTCACCGATGGGACCTTGCCCAGATCTTTCAAGGATTTGTGAGCTCCTCACACAAACCAGTCTGGTTAAACCCAGGATGGATCGTAAGCAGGCCAGCCTAAATGTTCTAACCGGCGAAGATGTTCCATTAGGGGGGTCCACGTTTCGCAAGCGTAGAGAAGGGAGGGAATGACCGTGGCCGAGAAGACCTGAAGCTTAGTGCGGAGCAACAGACCAGGTAGCTTCCACACAGCGTTACGCAACCGATGAAAAGATATTGCCGCTCGACTGATTCGGAGTGAGACCTCTGCTGTTAAACTGGAGCCGGTCATAAGCACACTGCCCAGGTATGGGAAACTCTCCACTCTCTCCACAACTGCCCCATCACCGATTGGAAGTTGTGAGGGTGGAGTGTCCGATGGTACAAAATACCCAGGCAGGTGCTTAGTTTTGGTGGGGCTGATGGTAAGGCCCCACCTCTTAGTGGCACGCTCCAGTCTCAGCAGCAGCGTCTCCAACTCCTCCTCTGAATGAGCAGCTATTACCAAATCATCGGCATACATAACGTGGTTGAGCAATAGGGAGCCATCCCTTGACCGCACCCGGGCATCGATCAGCCTCCCATTATATCTGTACCATATGGAGATTCCCCCGGTACAGCTATTGAAGGCGTCACGAACTACGTGGTCAAAATAGATGTTAAATAATGTGGGAGCCAAAAGACATCCCTGTCCTACCACCAAGGTGTACAGGGAATGGCTCTGACTCCCGGCCACGTAGTTTTACCCGGGCCCGCTCACTATCATGAAGGTCCTTAATGATCGTGAGCAGAGGGTCAGGTACTCCAAAAGCACGAAGAACAACCCAGAGCCCAGGCCTACTGATGGGTATCATAGGCCTTGACCAGGTCAATAAAGCAGAGATGTAGGTCTTGCTGGAATTCCCTACACCTCTGCTGTAGCATACGGACGGAAAATATGGCATCTGTGCAGGACCGCCCTTTCCTGAAACCGCATTGGGGCTCCGCAAGCCTCTACTCAGCGTGCCTGGCAAGGTGATGTTGAATAATCCGCGCCAGGACCTTTCCCGGCACACTGAGGAGTGAGATGCCCCTGTAGTTGTTACAGTCTGTGCGGTCCCCCTTCTTAAAGAGGGGGACCACCAGGGCATCCTTCCGATCCTGCGGAACCCGGCCAGTGGTCCAGACTGTTGTTATGATGTCATGTAGGGCAGTCTGTGCACAAACGCCACCCTCCCTCAGCATTTCGCTTGGGAGATCATCTCTGCCTGGTGCCTTTCCTGGTCTCAGACTCCGGATCGCCTTCAGTACTTCCTCAACAGATGGCACCTCAGCCAGCCACTCACAGGGGGTGACTTCTTCCAATATTTGAGGCACCGCAGCCTCAGCAGGGTCATCCTCACTTTGTGCCACGATGTTTTCCTGGCTGAGGGATTTTCCCTCCCCCAGGACCTCACAGAAATGCTCAGCAAACCTGTAAACCTGTTCCTGGGGGTCGGAGATTGGATCACCGTTTTTTCGCCTAATGATGGTAATAGGTGTGGCGCTGCAGGTTACTTTTTTGATGGAGTTAAATAGAGATTTGAGATCGCGGGCCCCTGAGGCAGACTCCATCTCCTCAGCAACCCGTGACCACCACCCATCCTTGCAGCGCCTCACGGCTCTCCGAACCTCCGAGCGAAGGCTGCGGTAAGCCACCTCATTCTCTGACGTGGGATTCTGTAGCCGATGACTGTGGGCCTGTCGCTTTTTCTCAACCATCCTGAACACCTCCTCTGTCAGCCAGGGTCTCTGGGGAGGTCTGGACCACGTACCCAAAGCAGCCATTGCAGCTGCATGAGTCACAGTCCTAAACTTCGCCCATTTACCCTCGACATCAGGAGGAGTCGGGGACGATGCCAATCCCAGCCGCAAGCGATGATGAAATTCTCGCTTGCAACTTTCATCAGATAACTGAGACCAGGCCACTTTAGGTTGGAATGGGGTCCTGGGTGTACACCCATCACCGGAGTGGAAGAATGGCAGGTGCATCTTACAGATGACAAGTCGATGGTCAGAGGGCAGATCAGCTCCACGGAAGGTCCTGGTGTCAAGGACATGGGCTCGCATCCGCTGGTCCGTCACTATGTAGTCCAGCAGATGTTCTTGCTTGGACCCGGCATGCATCCATGATGTTGTGTGGATGCACCGACAAAAGAAGACCCACACCCTGTTGTTTGGCAGTCTGCTGCCCCGAGTAGAGGACTGTCCACCCCTCATGGTGGCAGGAGCCAGAGCCGGTCCACCGGACCTCCTGAATGCCACAGAGATCCAGGCGGTACCGGTCCAGCTCCCGACAGAGGAGTGGCAGCCTCTCCTCCGCAGTGAGCATTCGAACATTCCACGTGGCCACACGAAGTGGCTTTTCGTTGTTTCTGGAGGAGCCCCGAGGGTAGAGATTCAATCTCCTGGCTCCGCCAATTGGGGTTTGGCCAGGAGACATCATAGACGCCTGTCCCCCCGGGGCCTCCGGCACAAGCTTATTAGTTACATTTTTCAGTTTACACACACACACATAGACACACACACACACACAGACACACACATAGACACACAGACACACACACAGACACACACACACAGAGACACACATAGACACACACACAGACACACACACACAGATACACACACATAGACACACAGACACACACACACAGAGACACACATAGACACACACACAGACACACACACACACAGACACACATAGACACACAGATACACATAGACACTAGCAGTAGTACTAACTACAACTAGTAGTACTACTAGTAGTACTAACTAGTAGTAACTAGTAGTACCAATTAGTAGTAGTACTAAATAGTAGTAGTACTAACTAGTAGTACTAACTAGTAGTACTACTAGTTGGTACTACTAGTTAGTAACTAGTTAGAACTAACTAGTAGTACTGACTAGTAGTAACTAGTTAGAACTAACTAGTAGTACTGACTAGTAGTAACTAGTTAGAACTAACTAGTAGTACTAACTAGTAGTACTAACTAGTAGTAGTAACTAGTAGTACTAACTAGTAGTAACTAGTTAGTACTAACTAGTAGTGCTAACTAGTTACTACTAGTTAGTACTAACTAGTAGGAACTAGTTAGTAGTAGTACTAAATAGTAGTAGTACTAACTAGTAGTACTAACTAGTAGTACTACTAGTTGGTACTACTAGTTAGTAACTAGTTAGAACTAACTAGTAGTACTAACTAGTAGTAGTACTAACTAGTAGTACTAACTAGTACTAACTAGTAGTACTAACTAGTAGTACTAACTAGTAGAAGTGTATAGTAGTATTACTGACTAGTATTACTAACTAGTAGTACTAACTAGTAGAAGTGTATAGTAGTATTACTGACTAGTATTACTAACTAGTAGTACTAACTAGTACTAACAAGTAGTACTACTAGTAGTACTAACTAACTAGTAGTAGTAGCAGCAGTGTCTTCTTACCCTGGGGGGCAGACACAGCCCGGGGTGCAGGGCAGAGGGCATCCGCCCCTGTCAATGTGCGGTGACCCACAGCTGGGCTCACAGGAGGTGCCCTCTGTGAGGCCCTGGTACTCTGCCGAGCACGAGACCAGGAACTCTCCCACCGGACAATCTACACACACACACACAGTTACACACACACACACAGTTACACACAGACACACACAGTCACGGTGACCCACAGCTGGGCTCACAGGAGGTGCCCTCTGTGAGGCCCTGGTACTCTGCCGAGCACGAGACCAGGAACTCTCCCACCGGACAATCTACACACACACACAGTTACACACACACACACACAGTTACACACACACAGTTACACACAGACACACAGTTACACACAGACACACAGTCACAGTGACCCACAGCTGGGCTCACAGGAGGTGCCCTCTGTGAGGCCCTGGTACTCTGCCGAGCACGAGACCAGGAACTCACCCACCGGACAATCTACACACACACACAGTTACACACACACACAGTTACACACAGTCACAGTGACACACAGCTGGGATCACAGGAGGTGCCCTCTGTGAGGCCCTGGTACTCTGCCGAGCACGAGACCAGGAACTCTCCCACCGGACAATCTACACACACACACACAGTTACACACACACACAGTTACACACACACACAGTTACACACACACACAGTTACACACACACACAGTTACACACAGACACACAGTCACAGTGACACACAGCTGGGATCACAGGAGGTGCCCTCTGTGAGGCCCTGGTACTCTGCCGAGCACGAGACCAGGAACTCACCCACCGGACAATCTACACACACACACACACACAGTTACACACACACACAGACACACACAGTCACAGTGACACACAGCTGGGATCACAGGAGGTGCCCTCCGTGAGGCCCTGGTACTCTGCCGAGCACGAGACCAGGAACTCACCCACCGGACAATCTACACACACACACAGTTACACACACACACAGTTACACACAGACACACAGTTACACACAGACACACAGTCACGGTGACCCACAGCTGGGCTCACAGGAGGTGCCCTCTGTGAGGCCCTGGTACTCTGCCGAGCACGAGACCAGGAACTCTCCCACCGGACAATCTACACACACACACAGTTACACACACACACAGTTACACACAGACACACAGTCACGGTGACCCACAGCTGGGCTCACAGGAGGTGCCCTCTGTGAGGCCCTGGTACTCTGCCGAGCACGAGACCAGGAACTCACCCAGCGGACAATCTACACACACACACAGTTACACACACACAGTTACACACACACACAGTTACACACACACACAGTTACACACAGACACACACAGTCACAGTGACCCACAGCTGGGCTCACAGGAGGTGCCCTCCGTGAGGCCCTGGTACTCTGCCGAGCACGAGACCAGGAACTCACCCACCGGACAATCTACACACACACACAGTTACACACAGTTACACACACACACAGTTACACACACACACAGTTACACACAGACACACACACAGTTACACACAGACACACACACAGTTACACACAGACACACACACAGTTACACACACACACAGTTACACACACACACAGTTACACACACACACAGTTACACACACACACCCACAGTTACACACAAAGATACAACAAAGATCCCCCGTATAGCCTTAACAGACTGTAGGGGCAAGTGCTGTTAGCGAGCACCTATGAAGGCCGGCACGGCACACGAGGGGGTGGGTGGCCAGCACCACGCCCGACCGCCTTTGTCTCCCCAGTGGCAATGTTTACACACCGCACCAGGTACTCATTTGAGGCTGAGTCGACCTAGGGGAGGCCCGGGACCGGTTCAGATAATCGTCACTGGTGTTGGCCGTGAGCGGGAATCGAACCCGGGTCGCCAGGTTCATAGCGCAGCGTAGCGCTAACCGCTACACTATCGCTCCCCACACACACACAGTTACACACACACACAGTTACACACAGTTACACACGCACAGTTACACACACACAGACACACACACAGACACACACACACACAGACACAAATACACAGACACACACACAGACACACACCCACACACACACAGACACACACACACACAGACACACACACACACAGACACACACAGACACACACAGACACACACAGACACACACACAGACACACACACACAATGCAAATGGTTCCCAGGTAGACTTGCAACGCACTGTTAGGGGCAAATGGGTGGGTCGGAGGGAGCGTGGATTGGTGGGTGGGTTAGTGGGTGGGTGACTGGATGGGTGTGTGGATTAGTGGGTGGGTGGGTTAGTGGGTGGGTTAGTGGGTGTGTGGGTTGGTGGGTGTGTGGATTGGTGGGTGGGTGTGTTAGTGGGTGGGTGAGTGGATGGGTGTGTGGGTTAGTGGGTGGGTGCGTGAGTTGGTGGGTGGGTTAGTGGGTGTGTGGGTTAGTGAGTGGGTGGATGGGTGTGTGGGTTAGTGGGTGGGTTAGTGGGTGGGTGGGTTAGTGGGTGGGTGGGTAAGTTGGTGGGAGGGTGAGTGGATGGGTGTGTGGGTTAGTGGGTGGGTGAGTGGATGGGTGTGTGGGTTAGTGGGTTGGTGGGTGGGTGAGTGGGTGGGTTAGTGGGTGTTTGGGTTAGTGGGTGGGTGGATGGGTGTGTGGGTTAGTGGGTGGGTTAGTGGGTTGGTTAGTGGGTGGGTGAGTTGGTGGGTGGGTGAGTGGATGGGTGTGTGGGTTAGTGGGTGGGTGAGTGGATGGGTGTGTGGGTTAGTGGGTGGGTGGGTTAGTGGGTGGGTTAGTGGGTGGGTGGGTGAGTGGATGGGTGTGTGGGTTAGTGGGTGGGTGAGTGGATGGGTGTGTGGGTTAGTGGGTGGGTGGGTTAGTGGGTGGGTGGGGTGGTGGGTCGGTTATGAGACAAAGCTCCCCCAGGTAGCCTCTAGCAGGGCTGTAGGGGCAAGTGTTGTCACACACAGACACAGACAAAGCTCCCCCAGGTAGCCTCTAGCAGGGCTGTAGGGGCAAGTGCTGTCACACACAGACACAGACAAAGCTCCCCCAGGTAGTCCTCTAGCAAGGGGCTGTAGGGGCAAGTTCTGTCACACACAGACACAGACAAAGCTCCCCCAGGTTGTCCTCTAGCAGGTGGCTGTAGGGGCAAGTGCTGTCACACACAGACACAGACAAAGCTCCCCCAGGTAGTCCTCTAGCAGATGGGTGTAGGGGCAAGTGTTGTCACACACAGACACAGACAAAGCTCCCCCAGGTAGCCCTCTAGCATGGTGCTGTAGGGGCAAGTGCTGTCACACACAGACACAGACAAAGCTCCCCCAGGTAGCCCTCTAGCAGGGGGGCTGTAGGGGCAAGTGCTGTCACACACAGACACAGACAAAGCTCCCCCAGGTAGCCCTCTAGCAGGGGAGCTGTAGGGGCAAGTGCTGTCACACACAGACACAGACAAAGCTCCCCCAGGTAGCCCTCTAGCAGGGGGGCTGTAGGGGCAAGTGCTGTCACACACAGACACAGACAAAGCTCCCCTAGGTAGTCCTCTTGCAGGGGGCTGTAGGGGCAAGTGCTGTCACACACAGACACAGATAAAGCTCCCCCAGGTATCCCTCTAGCAGGTGGGTGTAGGGGCAAGTGCTGTGACACACAGGCACAGACAAAGCTCCCCCAGGTAGTCCTCTAGCAGGTGGCTGTAGGGGCAAGTGTTGTCACACACATACACAGACAAAGCTCCCCCAGGTAGACCTCTAGCATGGTGCAGTAGGGGCAAGTGTTGTCACACACATACACAGACAAAGCTCCCCAGGTAGCCCTCTAGCAGGGTGCTATAGGGGCAAGTGTTGTCACACACAGACACAGACAAAGCTCCCCCAGGTAGCCCTCTAGCAGGTGGCTGTAGGGGCAAGTGCTGTCACACACAGACACAGACAAAGCTCCCCCAGGTAGCCCTCTAGCAGGGGAGCTGTAGGGGCAAGTGCTGTCACACACAGACACAGACAAAGCTCCCCCAGGTAGTCCTCTAGCAGGTGGCTGTAGGGGCAAGTGTTGTCACACACATACACAGACAAAGCTCCCCCAGGTAGCCCTCTAGCAGGGGGGCTGTAGGGGCAAGTGCTGTCACACACAGACACAGACAAAGCTCCCCCAGGTAGTCCTCTAGCAGGGTGGCTGTAGGGGCAAGTGCAGTCACACACAGACACAGACAAAGCTCCCCCGGGTTGTCCTCTAGCAGGGGGCTGTAGGGGCAAGTGCTGTGGTTGGTAGCGACTAGCAGCAGATTGGTACTGGAGGTTCTTCTGCATCTCCTCACCTGGGTCTGAGACTTCGGTGCAGTTGATGAGACCATTCTGGCAGACGCTGCAGAGACAAGAGAGCGTCATCATCGACATCATTAACATAATCATCATCATCATTAACATCATTAACATCAACATCATCATTAACATCATCAACATCATCATCATCATTAACATCATTAACATCATCAACATCATCATCGTCATCATCATTAACATCATCAACATCATCATTAACATCATCGTCAACATTAACATCATCATTATCATCATTAACTTCATCATCTTTTATCAACATCATCATCACCATCATCATCAACATTAACATCATCATCATTATCATCATTAACTTCATCATCATTTATCAACATCATCATTAGCATAATCATTTATCAACATCATCATTAACATAATCAACATAATCAACATCATTAACATCATCAACATCATCATGAACATCAACACCATCATCATCATCATCATTAACATCATCATCATTATCAATATCCGAGATGACTGGCTGATGCACCACCTGTGCCCCCTACTGTGCCAACTCGCTGTGCTTTAGCCACCCGGCGCTCCGCTCGTTGTTGTGAGCGTCGCTGGTACCGGTCATCGGCAAGTCCACTCAGCTCCACGTCCTCCTGTACCACATCACTCCATCTCTTCTCTAGCCCGTGCCGTGCCCGTTTAGCCCCCTCAATCCGGACGAACAAAAGCTGTTTCGGCATGCGGTGGCTGGGCATGCGGGCTACATGACCCAGCCATTGCAGCCTTGCCCGCCGGAGGAGCTCACCGATGGGACCTTGCCCAGATCTTTCAAGGATTTGTGAGCTCCTCACACAATCCAGCCTGGTTAAACCCAGAATGGATCGTAGGCAGGCCAGCCTAAATGTTTCTAACCGGTGAAGATGTTCCATTAGGGGGGTCCACGTTTCGCAAGCGTAGAGAAGGGAGGGAATGACCGTGGCCGAGAAGACCTGAAGCTTAGTGCGGAGCGACAGACCAGGTAGCTTCCACACAGCGTTACGCA